GTAATATGAGATGATATAAATAGATATTAAATATGATATTTTGAATGTAAAATTAATTTTTAGTATAATATAAAAAATTAAAAATAATTCTTTATTTGATATTTCTGAAGAATTTTTTTTTATTTTTTATTTATGAATAATAGAATATTGAGAAATTCTTTAAACAAACACACCTTAAAATAATTTCAAACATCAAACTAGTTATAAACATGAACATATATGTTGAGACTGGGTGAACCAACTCAACACTAAGTATGATATTGTCCACTTTGAATATCCTCCAAAAGGCCTCATGCTAGTGGAGTTTACTTGAGACTTATAAGGTGTGTAAGGGATTTAGGTTTGCACCCCGACAATCCTCCCCTCAAACCAAGAACCAACCAATGGACCATGTCCTTCCCTGCCCACCTTGTACCGTCTATTACAAAGGGATCCGCTGTCTGACCATCTCAATTGGGTTTTTTCACAACTTCCAATATGGGACTTGGGTTTGCACCCCGACAATCCTCCCCTCAAATTAAGGACCAACCAATGGACCATGGACCTTCCCTGCCCACCTCAATCGGGACCGACCCAACACCGGTAAGAGACTTTCGACACAAGGCACATCCGTAGGTCACGAGGGCGAGCCCACCACCACAACCAATGCCCAATGCCACTCAGTCCATTTCACCATCTAACCGGACTCTGATACCACTGTTGGGACTTGATTCACTTGAAACTTGGTATATGATTTTCTTCGTAACTTCCGATATGAAACTTTGGTTTGAAGCCCCACAATATTAATTACAAATCCCCATTCTTCAATTGGATTATTTTATTTGGAAATTCACATTAATTAATTGCACAGTGAATAATGTTTTTAAAAGCTTTACATTAATTTTAGTGTTTTCGCCCAAACTATAATATATATATATATATATAATGATACTTGTTAACGATAAAGATCCATTTCGGCTCCTTAAGTTTGGCTAATTAAGATCAAATTCAAACTCTGAGTTCGGCTGATAAGGTTCAAATTGGGCTTGAATTTTATAAATATTCTATATATTTTTTTAAATATAAATTAAATATATCTAAAATTATGAATAAAATTTATAATAATTAAATATATTAAATTTTATTAAATATTAATTTATATTTAAAATGAATAAATTTCATAATAGTTTATCCAAGTCAATTTTTTGTTTTAGAAAAAATAATTTTCAACTAAATATCAAAATATCGTTATTTTTTTACTTTTTCACATTATTTTTAATTTAATGTCAAAGATAAAATGGACATTATACTACTTTATTGCATTATATATCTATAAAATATTAAGAGTAATTATATAACACTCTCTTATATTTTAGTCAAATTGCTCAAAACACTCAGTGTTTTATTTATTACTTGAAATCCACTTATATTAATTTAAAGTTTCCATAAAACATCATCCTTGTCCAAAGTTGGTTTTTTTATTCTAAATAAAAACCCAAAATTTATACAAATAAAATACGTAAAATATCTTAAATTATTTTTGAATTAAATAAATAAATAAATGATCAATCATTTATTTTTATAAAGATTAGATAACATTTTGTCTTCAGAAAACTATAAAATAAATTAATCAATTATTTATTTATTTATTTTATTCCAAAAAAAAAGTATTTAAGATACTTGATATCTTTTATTTGTATAAAACTTACATTATTATGTTCGTATTTACAACCAAATATCAGGTTTGAATAAAAATGGTATTTTATACAAATTTTACATTAACATTTTTATTAAAATACAATAGAATATTATATAATTTACCCAAATATTAACATATATTCATCCGCATGCAAAAGTAATTAATGAGAATCTTACTGGTGGATGGAAAGTATATTTTACTCGCTCACAAAAAAAATTAAAATTCAACATAATTCTCATATCTAATATAAAGGCATTCATTTAAAAATACGAATTAAACAAAAAGAATTTTAATTTTCCAAGACCGGTTATATCATTATTATTATTATTATTATTATTATTATTATTATATGTTGCGTGTTTGTTAAGGTTTTTAAAGTATTCATGTATATTAAAATTGTAGGAAATTTAATTAATGCTAATAAATAGATGGGTCGATTTTTTAGTAGAAGAAAAATGTGGCGTTGAATTACGTCTCTTCCCTTTTAAAATAAGAATTAAAGATCTTTTATTTTTTTCCATTGATTTTTTGGTGAAGTGATTATGATATATAAATATATTATGTATACAACACCGATAGGCTGTCGTGTTATAGTGAAATACTCTATTATCAAAATAATACTCTCTTCGTCTATCAAAATAATATATTACTTTCTTTTTGTAATTTTACAAAGAGAAATGTAACTAAATCCGGAATAATAATTATGTGTTAATCTTCAAAAAAAAGATGTATTGAAAATTTGTTTCGATGTGGTTTTAAATTGACTTGAAATTGTGTGTTTTGATTTGAATTTGTATCTGAATGATTTTTTATATAATATTTTGTGAGAGAAAATAAAAATTTTATTAAAAACTGTACATATTGAATAACGATATTGTTTATTTGAAAAAACAACACACACAGGGCTTCGTAGGTATTTCGAAATTTTACAAAAGAGCAATGTCTCGTAATTTTAGAAATTGTCCATTTTAGTGTTTAGGATTGGTTGCATTTTTGTTTTTATTATTGAAAATTATGAAAGGTTTTCTAGAAAATTGTAGTAAATTTTTTGTTTGGTGAAGTAGTTTTGTATTTATATATAGATATATATATGTACTCCCTTTGTTTCGGTTCAATTAACTATTTTCATTACTGACACGATATTAACAAAGTATCAATTTCTTTTTTTAGTAATTGTACTTTCGACTTAATATTACAAATACACTTATAACTTACAATATATTACACAAATGTCATTACCTTTATATCACACGTACTAGTAAGGTTATTTTAGTCATTTCTACTTTATTCCTACTATATCCCAATATAATACTAATATTTCTAAAACTACGTGCAAAAAGCAAATAGATACTTAGTTTCGGAACGGAGGGAGTATTATTTTTAATAAATTAAGTGTGTAAGTAAAAAAGTATAAATTAAAGAGTGTATAAGAGGAAAAAAAAATTATATATTTTTTATGGAAAAAAAGAAAGAAAAGACATTAATTTTGTAGACGAAAAATATCATAACTCATTATTATTAAGTAATTAAACATTATTTTCTTAAACATTATTCAATAGAAATTGTAAACATTATCTGGTTTTGTGAACTCAACTATATGCCAATCAATGGATTTTATTTATATTAGATGCTAAAAAATATCAAATAATATGTTGTTTGTTGAATTTTAAAATATTGTCACACAATTTAGAAAATATTGAATTTTGTATTGTGCTGTATAATATTATATGAAATATTTTCCCATGCATACGTACATGGTAAACTAACTGAACGGAATGCTAATATATTTTAAATAACAGTAATTTGAAAAACGATTGCTAATACATATTATTCAAATTCTTAACAGATGTAAACGATATTCTAATAATTTGACTATTTTCTAAATTTAAAAAAGTTATGAAAAACAACCATGTTTACAATCATATTCACACAATTTCATATATCAAATCTAGTAAATCGAATTAGTATATTGTCGAGATTTTACGTGATTGGATGATTTCAACTTCGTCTTCTGGTATTGGCTAATGCGGTTAAATATTTGAAACTTCAATTTCTTCGATGTCTGTGTTGATTAATGAGAGATCATATTAGATAGGAATTATTGCAAATTGATTTCGCTTGCTACAATCGATTCGTCCATCATCGATATCGTAAATTATGTGGATAAAAAAACAATTCATTTCATCAATAAACTCGTATGTTTACTGCCATGAAATCGAAGAGTTGAGAGGATAACCGTAATTATAAAAAGCATATTGATTAAATTACAATCATATCCTTAAATCATATTGTTTTGTAATACAATAACTATTATTCAATTAGCTCATAATCCCTGCCCGTTTGATGTTTTAGAATAAAAAATATATTTGATTTGTATTTTATATTTATATAGTGGTATATTTTTTAAAAAACATTTTTTTATAAAGAGATAATAAAAATTTACTCGTGAAATTTTATTTTGATTTTACTATTCTAATTTTTTTTTTTATAAAAAACAAACATCAAATTAAACATTCATTTTTATTTATTTTATTGCACTAAAATCTAATTTTACATTCAAAACATCACGTCAATACATATTTATATCACATCAAACAACTATTTCAATGTAAAATTTTATTATTCAAAATCAAAACAAAAAACCAAACCTTCACAAGTAAACACACTCATTATAAAAAACTAGGGTGCAAAGGTTTGAATTTTGAATTGAGATTTTAATAATAAAATTTTAAATTAAAATAGTTGTATGGCGTGATATAAATAGGTGTTTATACGATGTTTTGAATGTAAAATTAATTTTTAGAATAATATAAAAACTGAAAGATGGATATTTAATTTGATATTTTTTAAGAAAAATTTTAGATGAAATAATGAATTTTTTGGGGGTTTGGATTTTGATTTGAGATTTGAATAGTAAAAATTTTGAATTTGAATAGTTGTATGATGTGATATAAATAGGTGATGATGTGATGTTTTGAATGTAAAATTGATTTTTAGTATAATATAAAAAATAAAAAATAGGTGTTTGATTTGATGTTTTTGGGGGAAAAATTTTGGATAAATAGTAAAATCTCTTGCAAATCCATCAAACGAACACACCCTAAGAAAAAATTTAGATTATAAAAAAAAAATAAAAAAAAGAAAAATCGTAATTGGGACATGCAGGAACCCCGCATAAAAGTGGGTGTCTCCAAAGTCGCCGCCTCATCGCTCACGTTTCTGTGTAAAGCTTTCGCTGTTGTCGGCGGCGGCGGGCCTTACCTCAATCAGACACCTCACATACAACATTCATTATATATATTCCCAACTCTCTTACGTGTATATATATATATATATCTGTACGTATCTGTATATCTGTAATTACAAGTGAGACAAGTATCATGTTGTTCATGAAGGACAATAAACCCTCGTCTTCTTTTCCGATTCCGACAACCTTACTGCTTCTGCTCATTTTTATCGCCACCTTTTCATCGCCAGCTCGTGAGATATACACATTTTATGTCCTTCTTTTTTCTTATTATTCACAAATTATGGTTTCAATTTAATTTCGTATAATAATAATAATAATATAATATATAATTAGGAGCGGCGGGAGGTGCGAATCAAAACGACATCGTTTCATGGCTGAGAGAGATGGCCGTTCTGGTCGGCAACAACAGTAACGGCTCCGGAAACGGCGTCGTGTCGTTGCCGTGGCTGATTCAGAAGACTTCTCTGGTCAATCATAATGCAACCACCAAATCCGCCGCACGTGCCAACGAAACGGCGGCGGCGACGCCGTTAGTGCTGGCGGCGGACAGAACTCGTAGAAAGGATCCGACGGATGGCCTCCGTTATTACGACGGCGGATGGAATATTAGCAATACCCATTACATAACTGTAAAGCACGATTCATTAATTTCTCCAAACTAATTGAATCTACTGCAGCACCCAAAAAATTCAAAAAACCCTAATAGCTCCAATTTATTTAGAAATTAATTAATTAATTAAAATTGTTCTTACGCTGCTCTCAGTCTGCGCTCTTCACCGGATTCCCTCTTTTCCTCATCGCCGGAATATGGTTCCTCGGATTCGGAATATTCTTGCTGCTGGCCTGCGCCGCCGCGTGCCGCCGCCGCAAGCCCCAGAATAACGGCGGCGGCGGCGCCCCTTACGCCTACGCTCTGTCCCTCGTCTTGCTCGTGCTGTTCACAGTTGCTGCAATGTACGTACTAATTAATTAATTAAATATTATAATAATTATATATTTGTGGATATTATATTATATATATATCAGGCTTGGTTACACTGCTGAATATAAATTTCATCACTGATTTTTAATAAAATACAAATATAACACATAACTTAACAACACATGATATAGTATCACACTACAATGTATATAGATTTGAATACATGACATAATTTCATACATTACACGATATAATTATGAATTAACAGCGATACTTTTATTCCAAATTCAGCACGTTAACCTTTCTCTTATATCAGAGTTGGGTCGGGTGTTCTCCTGGCGGGGCAGGAGAAGCTCCACGTCAGCACGAGGGAGACAGCGGGGTTCGTGGTGGGGGAGGCGGATACGACGGTGGAGAATCTGAGGAACGTGTCGGAGTATCTGAGGAACGCCAAGGGGGTGGCGGTGGACCGGATGTTTCTTCCCCAGCAGGTGCAGGACAAAATCGACGAGGTCAACTCTATGATTTCGTCGGCGGCGGACACTCTGGGAACGGCGACAAATGACAATAAGGACAACATATTCCGGATTCTCGACACTGTGTCAGTACTGCCTGCACCTTAATTAATTTTATATATTTTCATTTGAAAATGATTTATTACTAATTAATTAACAAGGTATGTACGTGCAGGCGGGTAGTTCTGATTGTGGTTGCGTCTGTGATGCTTCTGCTGGCTTTACTCGGACTCGGTAAGCATTCATCGTTGCAATCGAATTGACCTTATGTTGTCTGATGCCGTTGACTTGTACATTATATATATATATATATATGTTGCAGTGTTGTCGATTTTGGGCATGCGGCGTCTGGTCTACGCGTGAGTGCAGTTATAAGATACAATATATACATACATATATATATATGTATATGTAATAAGTAATAACGAGGTCGTATTTGGATCTTACTTATTGTTTGATCGAAGTGAATAACTTGGTGCAGATTGGTGGTCCTTGGTTGGATACTCGTCGTCTTAACTTTCACCATTTGTGGAGTATTTCTCGTTCTCCATAAGTAAGTGCTGCAATAAAAAAGGTTTTTTTTTTTAATTCCATTTCCTATTTCATACCATACTTTCGGAAATTTGATATTATTGCATCTTGAGATGATCAGCGTGATGGGGGACACGTGTACGGCGATGAATGAGTGGTCGGCGAATCCGACGGTCCACACGGCTCTGGACGAGATCATCCCGTGCGTGGAGGAGGCGACGGCGGAGGAGGCGGTGTCGGAAAGCAAGGCGGTGACTTTCCAGGTGGTGCAGCTCGTTAACCTCATCATCCGCAACCTCTCCAACGCCAACAATCGTCTCATCAACTACAACCAGTCGGGCCCCCTGGTCCCGGCCCTTTGCAGCCCCTACAACGGAGACCTCACCGACCGCACGTGCGCCCCGGGGGAGGTCAGCCTGGGCAGCGCCGGGGACGTGTGGCGGGCACACGTGTGCCGGGTATCGGGCGGCAGGTGCGTCACGGCGGGGCGACTCACGCCGGAGATGTACGAGCAGATGAGCGGCGCGGCGGCGGTGAGCTACGGGCTGCACCATTACGGGCCGTTCCTGGCGGAGCTGGTGGACTGCACGTTCGTCCGGAGCACGATGAGGAGGATACACCGGGAGCACTGCCCCGGGCTGAGGAAGTACAGCGAGTGGGTGTACGTGGGCCTGGCGGTTGTGTCGGCGGCGGTGATGGTGGCGCTGATACTGTGGGTGGTGTATGCCCGGGAGAGGCGCCACCGGACCTACTGGAAGATCGGGAGCAGCCCCACCCGGGGATCTACCTTCTAGAACCTTGCTGTCTACTGTTTGGGAGTTTTGCTTCTGGGAATATATATATATACATGTATGTATGTATATATATAGATATATATATTGGACTTGAGATTTAGGAGCACAGTTAGTTCGCTTACAGAAGAAATGAAAAATAAAAACGGTGTGTTTTATTGTGCTTTGGTTACTTCATTATTTTTTTTAGCTAGCAAATGTATAAGGGTGTGTTTGTTTGTAGGATTTTGGTAGATTTTTAGGCCATCCATAACACAGAAACCCATCCAGGGTTTCTTCCCATTCTCTCTCCTGTGCCACGTCAGTTTCTCTCTCCACCACGTCACGAAGAACTCCAACTATATTTTACATTCACATCAAAGAACCCTTTAAATTTATGAATATTTTTATGTATTTTTATTTATTATTTGTATTGCATGTAATTTTAATTAAACAAATGTTATAATTGAATTAATAGATATTTAATTAAATATTTTACAAAAATATGCATTAAAAAGTTACATAAAATATAAAAATATTATATTAAAAATTATAGTTATTAACAATATTATTTTAATAAAAAAATAAATATTAAATAAAACTCATATAATAAAATTTAAATCTAATATTTTAATAAAACAAATTATTATAAATATAAATAAAAAAGTATATATTATAAATATTATTTTTAATATTTATTGAATAAAAAAGTGGACCATGGCCCACAAAAATTGGAAGAAACGGTACACTCGCAATGTACCGTTTCTTATGTTAATTGGTGTTTTAATTTTTTTTTATTTAATAAATGATGACGTGGGAGGCGCTTCTCAACAAGCGTCTCCCGTTGTGGATGCCCTTACTGATCACACAAATTTTTCTTTAAAAAAACAATAAATTAAACACATATTTTTTATTTTTTATATTATATTAAAAATTAATTTTACATTCAAAATATCACATCAATCAATATTTATATCATATTATACCGCTATTGAAATTTAAATTTTTTACTATTGAAATCTCAATCCAAAATGCAAACTGCCAAACAAATACATCCTAAGATTGTGTTTACTTTGAGGAATTTTTTGAAAAATTTTGGTTTGGATTTAAAATTAAAATAATATATATTATGATATTTTGTGAAATAAAAAAAGAATTTTTTTTTAAAAATACAAAATAAAAATAATAAAATCTGAATTAGAGTAAAGAAACACACCCAATACTTATCAATTTTTGTTTTTTTATTTTATACACAAATCAATACTATTCCCATTCCTCATAAAAAAATATTGCTTTGGTAAAAATGTACTTTAGCTAAAATTATGTCACTGTTTTTTACCATTATTTAAAGCTATTCCTATTTCATTTATTAACATTGTGTTGACGAAAGAGGAAGAGTAAGAAGAAAAAAAGACTTTTTGTCGCAGGGGATTGAATTTTAAATATATTATTTATTTTATTTTATTTTTTAAAAAATATCAAATTAAATATTATTTTTTATTTTTTATATTATACTAAAAATTAATTTTATATTTAAAATATCACATCAACACCTATTAATATCATTATGAACACTAATATGGAAGAAAATTTTGGGAATTGGATTGAATTGGGCTTAGCTTGAGCTTGGTTTGATTTGGGTTTGGTGGCTAGCAGATTTTGTATTTATTTTTTGAGTATTTTAATATCAACATTGTTATTTACCTATAATTTTATTATTTATATTTTAATAAATCATAATCAGTTTGGTATTATTTTTTCTATTTATGTACTCTATTTAATTTATTAACTCTTAAATAAAATTTTCGTAATAATCTTACTTTTTATTTATTATATTATAATATTAAAATATTACTATTATTTTTAGTTTTTATATCCAACTAAAATTAAATAATTTTTTTAAAAAATACTATTTTTTAATAAAATAATAGTACTAAAAAATTCTATATGAAGAATTTAAATTAAAATTAAAATTCAAAATAAAATAAAATAAACCCATATTTTTTCATTAAAACAATCATTTACGAAACCGACTCATAGGATCGGATGCCTAGTTCTGATTTTTTTTAAAAATATATATTTTACATGAAATTAATTATTAAAAGTATTGTTTTAAATGAAAATGCGTTGAATTCGAATTCAAAATGATAATATTGTTAGGTCTTCGAAATAAAAACCTAATAAGAAAATGGATGGTGATCTAAACAAAAAAAAAAACTTAACACAGAATGAATTCAAAGATAGGAACAACACCACACTAAAAATATTATATATTTCACACTGATGAAATAAAACTTGTACAACATTCTTTTTATACCCTGAAATCCAACAAACTCCTCAACTGAATCTACCAAAGAGTGACTCTTGGTACGCTGGTCCCAGGCAAGGCTAACAAACTTGAATAAAAGATTCTATAAGGTATGCCACATGGAAGATGTCGGTACTGCTATAGATACATATATACAATTCTAATAGATGCTGGAACATTCTACGTAATATCATCATTGCTTAACACTCCCCCCTCAAGGGAAACTAGGGATGTAGATCCCAAGTTCAACTTGACAAGCGTGGACTGAAAACTAACTGTTGGGAGAGGCTTTGTAAAGGCATCAACAAGCTGCTGAAGAGATGGAATGTGGATAGGTGTAATAAGTCTAGCTTGAAAGTGACTGCGGACAAAATGACAATCAATATCCACATGCTTGGTACGCTCATGATGGACTGGATTCTGCGCAATATTAATAGTTGATTGATTGTCACAATAAAGAGGAATTGGTAGAGGCACCTGAATGTGGAAGTCACGAAGGAAATACATAATCCAAAGAAGTTCAGATACAGTGCTGGCAAGAGCTCTGTATTCTGCCTCAGCAGATGAACGAGAAACAATGGACTGTTTTTTTTGTTTTCCAAGAAATCAAACATGAACCCAAGAAGAGACAATATCCTGTAAAAGATTTGCGAGTATCCAAACATGATCCCCAATCAGTATCAGAGAAGGCAATCAAGCAAAAGGTACCTTTTGTTGGAAAAAGTAGCTGCAGAGCCTTAGTGCCGCTAAGATATCTAAGAACACGTTGAGCTGCTTTCCAATGCAATGTTGTGGGGGAAGCCATAAACTGATATAATTGTTGTATAACATAACAGATATCCGGCCTAGTTATGGTGAGGTAGAGAAAACGACCAACAAGCCTTCTATAATGTTCAAGATGCTGAATAGGGCTTCATTTGTCCAGATGGAGTTTACAACCTGTTGCAAAATGAGTAGTACAAATGGCTGCCTCTTGCAAGACACACTCATCTAAGATATCTTCATTTAGATTGAGAGACAGCAAACCCAGAAAGAGTGTGCTCAATCTGAATGCCAAGGAAGAGATCCACTTGTCCTAGATTTTTTATGGTGAACTCATTATGAAGAAATTCTTTGACTGCAGCTATATGAGAAAGGTTAGGCCCAGTAAGAAGAATATCATCCACATAGATAAGTAAATTGGTGAGACAGTGGTCATGGTCAAGAGTGAAAAGACAATGATCATTTGTGGACTGAGTGAAGCCATATTCAATAATTTTGGCAGTAAATTGCTTATACCACTGGCGAGGGGCCTGTTTGAGGCCATAGAGAGATTTCTTGAGTCGACATACTTTACCTTTCTTGTGGTGGCAACATGTAAAGTTCTTCATCAAGGTGACCATGGAGAAATGCGTTGTTCACATCAAGTTGATGAACCTCCCAATTTTTCATAGAGGCCATGGCAAATAGAATTTGAACAGTAACAACCTTTGCCACTTGAGCAAAAGACTCTTTAAAATCTTTTCTTGGAATTTGCAAATACCCTTTGGCAACCAACCTCACTTTGAATCTTTGGATGTTGCTATCTGAATTTCTTTTAATTCTGTGTATCCATTTGCAAGAAATAGGACGGGCACCTGTAGGTAAGGTGGTAACTTCCCAAATGGCATTCCTTTCCAGTGCCTCCAATTATTTTTCCATAGCAGTTCTCCAGGTGACATCTTTGTGGGCCTGTACATAAGAGGTTGGTTCCTGCATATTAACAGTAGAGATACTATGCCAAACAAAATGAGATGATGAATCAAAATGGGTGTTGCAGGTATGGATAGGGCAAATGTAATCTTTCATCCAAACAGGCTTTTTGATTTGTCTCTCTGGCCTAGCAGAAAAAATGAGAAATGGCAGAGGAAGGAGATGAGGTAAGTGCCATAGGATCAGATGTAGGGGCAGGGATGGTAAGTCCATGTTGGTTGGGGAAATAGGATGGGAAGTGCTGAAGGAGGAAAAAGGACTTGAATTGATTGGTGGGATAAAGTTCTGATCTTTTGTGCTAAGGTTTGGAGTGCTGGTTAGGAAAAATGGTGCATGAGCAGGAGAGATATCTGATGAGGTAAGGAAGTTGGGTATGTAGGGATGAATGTAGGAATTGATAGAGGCATGTTAGAAGACTGACTGACAGATGATATCTCTGGTTCGGCTCTGTAAGAAAACACATCTTCATAGAACTCAACATCCCTAGCAATAAGACATGTTTTGTTTTCAATGTCAAAAAGCTTACCCTTTCTGACTAGATTGGAAGCCAAGAAATACACGTTTGTAGGCTTTTGGATCAAGTTTGGTTCTTGTTGGCTTGGTGTTGACCGCATAGCACAAGCAACCAAACACCTTAAGGTTGGTTAGATCAGGTTTTACAGAAAACAATCTTTCATATGGGGTACACCAAGCTAGGATAGATGATGGTAATCTATTAAGGATGTAAGTAGCATGAAGAAAGGCATCACCCCAAAATCTAGAGGGTAAATTGGCTTGGAACAAGAGTGCCCTAGTAAGTTGCAAGAGATGTTTGTGTTTTATCTCAGCACGCCCATTCTGTTGTGGGCTGTAGGGACAAGAATACTGATGTTCAACTCCAAATCTATGGTATAAAAGTTTACAGTGTTGGTTTAAGAACTTAGAGCCATTATCTGTTCTGACTTTCTTGACAGAGGTGTGGAATTGAGTTTGAGTAAAAGTTAAGAAGACTTCAATGAGGTGAAAGATGTTTTGTTTGTTTGGTAAGAGATATGTCCAGGTAGCTCTGGAATAATCATCAACAATAGTCAAGAAGTAATGACACCCGCTCATAGTAGTTGTTTTGTAAGGACCCCACAAATCCATATGCAAAAGTTCAAAAATGACTGTTTTGCTTTGT